TTGTTTTTGTTGTTGTTGTTAATGCTGGAAATGCTTGTTTCCAAGAGAAAAACATTAGTTGATGGGATACCACAGACTGGAGTGAAGAGGTTTCTGGCAAAAAATACTCTGATAGTGTTGCTGGAACATTTCAAAACCTGATAGTCTGGTCTTGAGGTCTCTTTTGAATTCAGAATTTGCTGCTAATGCTGCTCATACGGAAATTACCAGGTGTTTTAAGGGAAGGGACAGGTATTGTTGTGAATCAGGAATCACAGCAATTTCTGGCTGACTCTCCACCATCACCCACTCGTCAGCTCAGCTTTAGCTGCCCAGAAGTCACGAGAGGAATGGGTTTACATATAGCCTGCTAAAGGAGGTTAGGACTGGTCATAAAAGCATAAATGTATTAACAAGGTTTTCCTCAGGACATCTCCAAGCTCTAATGGGGGAGCCAAAAACATCAGTGTAAAAGATGCATTCATATTAATCTTTAGCCAGAAGTGCCGAGTGGATGATCCATCTTGGCCTCCTCCAGAAGTTCCCAGCATCACAGATGCCAGACTTCAGCTAATTTCATTCACTCAACATGATATCAAGAAATGGTTGAAGACACTGGATACTGAAAAGGTTATGTGCCTTGACAATACTCTGGCAACAGCATTGAAGAAGTGATCTGCAGAACTAGCCATGCCCGGAGCTAAACACTCTCACAATAGCTGCAACACCAGCATCCAAATGACAATGTGGAAAATTGCCCAGTATTTCCTGTAAACAAAAAGTAGGACAGATCCAACCCAGCCAATTATTGCCCCAGTCTACTCTCGATCATCAGTAAAGTGATAGAAGGTATCATAAACAGTGCTATCAAGCAGCACCAGTTCAGCAATAACCTGCCCACTGACACGCAGTTTGGATTCCACCAGGGCCACTCAGCTCATGGCCTTGGTTCAAACGTGGACAAAACAGCTGAATTCCAGAGATGACGTGAGAGTGACAGGCCTTGACATCAATGTCACATTTATTGTGTTAGAGAGGTACTTCAAGATTTATTGCATGGACCCCAGTTATTCACAACATATATCAATGATTTGGATGTGGAAATCAAATGTAATATTTCCAAATTTGCAAATGACACAATGCTCAGTGGCAATGTGTTGTCATTGAGATGTTAAGCATCTTCTGGAGGATTTGGACAGATTCAGTGGATAGGCAAGAGCTTGCACACAGAATATAATATGGGAAAATGTGATGTTGTCCACTTTAGTAGGTACAAAGTGACCTAAGTGTCCTTTTGATCAGTCGCTGAAGGTTAACATACAGGTGCAGCAAGCTATTTGACTTAGATTTAGACTTAGACTCCCGACAGTGTGGAAACAGGCCCTTCAGCCCAACAAGTCCACACTGACTCTCACAGCATCCCACCCAGATTCATCCCCCTATAACCCACCTAATCTACACATCCCTGAACACTATGGGCAATTTAGCATGGCCAATGGAACATTAACCTTTTATAGCAAGAGGAATTGAGTAATGGATAGCTACCAGGAGAAGTTGTTTTTGCTACAGCATCGGACGGGTGACCTGATAGAAGTACATAAAATAATGAGAGGCATGGATAGAGTGGATAGTTGGATGGAAAGGTCAAATACTAGGGGGCATAGGTTTAAGGTGAGAGGAAAAAGTTTAAGAGAAATGTGTGAGGCAAGTTTTTTTTTTAAACATAGAGGGTTGTAGGTCAGATGGTAGAAACAGGTATGTTGGCAACATTTAAAAGGCATTGATGGAAGGGATTCTGAGGGAGAGAATTTACAAGCATTTGGAAAGGCAACATGGATTTGTGCATGGGAAATCGTGTCTCACTAATTTGATTGAGTTTTTTGAAGAAGCGACAAAGAAGATTGATGAAGGAAGAGAGGTGGACGTTGTGTTTCTGGACTTTTGCAAGGCGTTCCACAAGGTTCTGCATGGTTGCTGGTTAGTAAGGTTAGATCACATGGAATCCAGATGAGCTAGCCAATTGGATACAAAACTGGCTTAAAGGTAGGAGACAGAGGGTGGTAGTGGAGGGTTGCTTTTCAGACTAGAGGCCTGTGGCCAGCAGTGGGCGGCAAGGATTGGTGCTGGGTCCACTGCTTTTTGTCATTTATATAAATGATTTGGATGTGAATATAGGAAATATAGTTAATTAGTTTGCAGATGACACTAAAATTGGAGGTGGAGTGGACAATGAAGAAGGTTATGTCAGAGTACAACAGGACATTGATTCAATGGGCCAATGTGTCGAAGAATAGCAGATTAAGTTTAATTTAGATAAATGTGAGGTGTTGCATTTTGGTAAGGCAAAGCAGGGCAGGACTTCTACACTTAATGGTAGGGCCCTGGGGAGTGTTGCTGAACAAAGTGTTTAACATGCTTGTCTTCATTGGTTAGCGCACTGAGTATCTGATTTGGGGCATCATGTTGTGGCTGTACAGGATGTTGGTGAGGCCACTTTTAGAATACTATATTCACTTCTGGTCTCCCTGCTACTGGAAATATCTTGTTAAACTTGAAAGGGTGCAGTAAAGATTTACAAGAATGTTGCTAGGATTGGAGGGTTTGAGCTATAGGAAGAGGCTAAATAGGCTGGGATGTTTTCACTGGAGCATCAGAGACTGAGGGCTGGCCTTATAGACGTTTATAAAATCATGAGGAGCATGGATAGGTTGAATAGCCAACGTCTTTTTCCAAGGGTAGGAGAGTCCAAAACTAGAGGGCATAGGTTTAAAGTGAAAGGGGAAAAATTTAAAAAGGACCTAAGGGGGACCTTTTCTCCCAGAGAGTGGTGCATGTTTGGGATGAACTACCAGAGGAAGTGGTAGAGGCAGGTAAAATTACAGCATTTAAAGAGGTATCTGGAGGGTATATGAATAGGAAGGTTTGGGCCAAATGCAAATGGTCCTAGATCAGTTTAGGATATCTGGTTGGTGCGGATGAGTTGGACCGAAGGGTCTGTTTCTGTGCTGTATAACTATGACTATATGACTGTCTGACAGACACGTGAAACAGGCAGTTTGGGAAGCTTGACTCATTCAATCCTGCTGTCGAAGACTAGGCCCAGCATGTGAAAAGAATGCTTAATTTTTTGCGGGATAATGAGAATGTGCAGGCAGTTTAGAATGGCATCATGGTCAGCACAGACATGGTGGGCTGGCACTATTCTATGTTCTGGGAGTTGTGAATGTAGAATTCAACTGTATAGGAGCTTGTTTTGACTGCACCTGGAATACTGTATTCAGTTTTGGTCTCCTTACTCAAGGAAAAATATTATTGCCATAGAGGGGATTCAATGAGAATTCATCGGAGTTGCTCCATGGATGGTGGGAGAATCCTATGAAGAGAGATTGGGCAAATTGGGCCTATGTCGTCTAGAATTTTGAAGAATGAGAGATGATCTCATTGAAACTGACAAAATACTTAAAATGGACAGACTATATAGATGCATGTAAAATGCTTCCCATGGTTGGGGAGTTTAGACCAAGGGCACAATCTAAAAATAAATGCGATTCATTACGGCAGAGATGAGGAGAAATTGTTTTAATCAGAGGTTTGTGAATCATTGAAATTCTATGGAAGCTCAGACTTTGGTAATGTTTAAGGTAGAGATTGATAGATTTCTAATTTTCAGCAATGTACAGGGTTATGGCAATGGGGTGGATAAAAAACATTGAAGTGTTCAACCAGACAGATTGATGTCTAACAATGTTCAGCTGCTTCAATGACCTTCCCTCCATCATCAGATCAGAAGTGGAGACTGTAGTGATTGGAACAAGGTTAGCCAGGTGGACCTCATAGAATATGATGTTCCTGATTGGACCAGGTTAACAGCCCTAATCAGGGAGTCCTGGCTAACAGATATAAACATGAGTATCAGGGGCTCTGTTCAGTCTAGGAGCTGGCATTGAACAAGTTGGGTCAGTGTAGTGGCCTATACATATGCAACTAAAGGTAGACTAGATGATGGGATACAGGCCTTCATGGAGCTATTTCAGTGGTGACAAGCGTGAGCTACACTCCTGAAGAGATTTGCTTGCAGTTTTTGAGGGGGGTAAGCATTTCAGATATCAAGTTGTTATTTGGGAAGCTTAATTCATTTGATGCTGCTGAAGACTGGGCTGTGTGTTCTTTTTCTGGGCAGATGTAAAGCTGCTAGTAATCCTGACAACTTGTGGATCCACAGTTTTTAATGTTATTAGAAACCTAGCTTTCCCTGAGGCACAAGATATTAAAGATACACCTTTCAAGAGTTTACTGGTTTTGCAAAGTCTCTAAGCCTCCCTTAATTCTGAGATGCTATCAATTGTACTTGGGAGCTTGAACCATGGGAATTGGTGTTGGGATTTTTGAGGTTAAGATAACTGGCAGAGGCATGTGATTTTGGTTTAACCCTGTGAGGTGCTGAG